TTGGGTCACAACATGAGGAACTATATTTAAAGGGCCAGAAGGTTGAGAACTACTGGGATAGAGTGTCAGCCTGCAGACTGAAGGATCCAGGGTTCCATTCCGGTCAAAGGCACATGCCGGGGTTGCGGGCTCGATCCCCAGTAGGGGGCGTGCAGAAGGCAGCCAATCAATGATTCTCATCATTGATGTCTCTATCTCTCTATACCTCTCCCTTCCTCTGTGAAATCAATAAAAATATTTATTTTTTTTTAAAAGATCTTCTTTGTGGATTGGCTTAAAATCAACTTTTGCAAACTGATGATTCAAGTTTTGAAGAGTGTGTATTCTCCATTATATGTATCTATAAAAAAGCTTGTAAATTGTTATTTAAATCCCCTCTATACTTATTTTCTATGTATTTGTTGTTTCATGAGAAATATATTGAAGTCTCCTACCAAGATTGTGAGCTTGTCAATTTATACTTGTATTCTATCCATTTTTCCTTTAGTCTGCCTTTATATAGTTGTTATGTTCATAAGCGTTCATCACTGTTATCCCTTAAATCATATGAATTACAATTACTATGAAGTCTATTTTATCTCACACTAACACTGCTTAAGTACTTTTGTTCTGTCAGCATTTGCCCCAGAGAGTCTGTTCTACCCTAACTTTTTCTTTAAATCTTTATTGTTCAGATTATTACAGATGTTCCTCTTTTTTCCCCCCATAGCTCCCCTCCACCCAGTTCCCACCCTACCCCAGGCCTTCACTCCTCCACTGTCCTCGTCCATAGGTGTAAGCTCTTTGTCCAATCTCTTCGCGCACCCCCCACAACCCCTTCCTCCCGAGAATTGTCCTCCGCTCCCTTTCCCTGCCCCTGATTCTATTACATTCACCAGTTTGTTCTGTTCATCAGATTTTTTATTCTACCCTAACTTTTTGTTACTTTCTGGGTTATTTTATATTTAGGTGTATCCTTTTATGAAAAAAATACATAGACGAATTTGAGATGTTTTCAACCCAATTTGGAGGTTCTTTGTTTTAATATAGAACAAGTATTTTGAAGTCAGTTTGAACATATTACACACTTTATTTAACCCATCCCCTTGGTAATTTGTTTACACTATAGCTTTTGCTGGGCAGATCCCCCTTCTCAGAGCATAAGTAAAATACAGAGTCAAGTATTCTCCCAACTAGCTTAAATTTCCAGTTAGCAGAATCCCACCTACTAAGATTTCAAACCCTCACCAATTGCCTCAACACACACACACAAGTGATGCAAGTGGTTCTTGTGCAGGGTTTATGCTAGGAAAAGGGCTGAAAACTGTTTTCCCTACATACAGGACTGTCTCAATTAAAAAAAATCTTGACATATTTGTTTAGTTGAAACAAGAACAAAGGCCAATGCATGGCCTGTGTCCCATGACCCATCAAAACATAAAGCACAGTGCTATGTTTTAGTGCAGGGGTCCTCAAACTACGGCCCGCGGGCCACATGCAAATACAAATATTGTATTTGTTCCCGTTTTGTTTTTTTACTTCAAAATAAGATATGTGCAGTGTGCATAGGAATTTGTTCATAGTTTTTTTTCAATTATAGTCCAGCCCTCCAACGGTCTGAGGGACAGTGAACTGGCCCCCCGTTTAAAAAGTTTGAGGACCGCCCTAACCGGTTTGGCTCAGTGGATAGAGCGTTGGCCTGCGGACTGAAAGGTCCCAGGTTCGATTCCAGTCAAGGGCATGTACCTTGGTTGCGGGCACATCCCCAGTAGGAGGTGTGCAGGAGGCAGTTGATCGATGTTTCTAACTCTCTATCCCTCTCCCTTCCTCTCTGTAAAAAATCAATAAAGTATATTTAAAAAAAAAAAAAGTTTGAGGACCCCTGTTTTAGTGACTTGACCACATTCAGATTCTCTTTTCAAGTTTTCCGGCAGTGTCTGCTGGCTCACCCCTGCAATGTGTATTCTGGCGACAGCAGTGTAATCACACTGGTAAGTCACTCAGACATGTGTCAACTGTAGCCTCCCCCAACTATCAAATGATTGAATATGGGCGGGTTTGTTTCTTTTTAAAGATATGACATGCTTAATCAGGCAGGAAGTGGTGGTTTTCCTACTAACAATAAGGTAGATATGCGTTTTTCTGTTTATTATTATTTTTTTAAAAAAAATACATTTTATTGATTTTTTAACAGAGAGGAAGGGAGAGGGATAGAGAGTTAGAAACATCGATGAGAGAGAAACATCGATCAGCTGCCTCCTGCACACCTCCTACTGGGGATATGCCCGCAACCAAGGTACATGCCCTTGACTGGAATCGAACCTGGGACCCTTCAGTCCACAGGCCGACGCTCTATCCACTGAGCCAAACCGGTTAGGGCTTATTATTATTTTTTAAATACAGTTGGCCGTCTGTGTCTGCACCCACAGATTCAATCAACCGTGACTTTAAAATATTCGGAAAAAAAATCCCAGAGAGTTCCAAAAAGCAAAACTTGAATCTGCCACACACTAAGCACTGTGCTGAATGCACAAAATGAAGTGATATGGAGGCATATCCTGCTGCTGCCTGTATGTTATATGACTTTATACAGGGACTTGAGCACCTGTGGATTTTGGTGTCCAAGGGAAGCGGGGGTCCTTTAACCTATCCCCTGTAGTCAAGGGGCAACTCTAATTAGCTTTACTGATTGAAGTATAACTTGCATGCAATAAAATCCATTCATTTAAGTGTACGGTTCAATGAATTTTGCCAAATGTATCCAGTGTGTAACCACCAACACAATCAAGGTAGAGAATATTTCCATCACCCCAAAGCTCCTTCCACGCCCCCTCACTCTTGAGGTGTCACTCTTTTCTCCGCTCCCCCCTGGCCACAGTCCTGATCTGTTTTCTGTCACTGTACTTTTGTCCTCTTTTTAGAATTTCGTATCAATCATATGCTATGTAACTTCTGTCTGGCCTTTTGCAGTTAGCATGCTTTTGAAATTCATCCCTGTTGTGTATATTAGTACTATTCCTACATACTGCTTAGCAGCCCACAAGATGGATACAACTTGTTATCCATTCACGAGGTAAAGGACACCTGGATTGTTTCCAGTTATGAGTATTGCATACAATTCTTTGTGTGGACATATGTGTTCTTTTCTCTTTGAAAAAAATACCTACAAATGGGACTAATGGGTCATATGCTAATTTTATGTTTAACCTTTTGAGGAACTGTCAAACTGTTTTCCAGAGGAGCTGTAACATTATTTGCTCCCTACCAGCCGTGTATGAGTTCCGGGTACTTTGTATTCTCACCAGCATTTGGCACTGTATTTTTTTTTTTCTTTCTCTCCATTCTAGCAAATATGTAATAGTAGCTCATTGTGGTTTTAATTTGCATTTCACTAATAACTAATGATGTTAAGCATCTTTTAAGTGATTACACATTCATATATTTTCTTTGGTGAAGTGTCTATTCAAATCTCTTGTTCATTTAAAAAATATTATTTGTCTCCCCAATACTAAATGGTAAAACTTCTTTATGTATTTTGATAAAGTCCTTGGTCAAAAAAAATGTTTTGCAAATATTTCTCCCAAGTCTGTAACTTGCCTTTCATTTTCTTAACAGGTAGGGTATCTTGAGCAGCATAAGCCTTTAATCTGTGAAAAAGTCCAATTTATGGTTCATGCCTTTTGTGTCCTAAGATATCTTTGCCTAATACAAGATCACAAAGATCTTCTATATTTTCCTCAAGAAGTTTTAGTGTTGTGGCTCATATGTCTAGGTCTAGGAACCATTTATAATTAATTTTTGTATACAGAGTGAGGTAAGGATTGAGGTTCAATCTTTTCTCCACATGGATATCCAATTGTTCCAAAACCACTGGTGGAAAAGACTATCCTTTCTCCCTTGAATAACCTTGGCATCTTTATAAAAACAATCAAGTGATCATATACATGTGAGTCTATTCTCTTCAATTAATCACTCTCTCTTTATTAGGGGTAGCTTTATAGTAAGTCTAAAAGTCAGATAGGGTAAGTCTTCCAATTTTGTTCTTTTCAAAATTATTTTGGCTATTCTTAGATCCCTTGTATGTTCATATAAATTTTAGAATCAGCTTATCAATTTCAATAAGATTCACCAATTTCTACAAACTGTGCTGAGACTTTGATATGGATTAAGCTGAATCTATAGATTAATTTGGTGAGATGTAACTTAATAATGTTGAGTCTTCCAATCATGCACATGACATATAATTCCATTCATTTGTTCCAATGGCTTTTCTTTGATTTCCTTACAACTTTCTACCTGTACAATCATGCCATTTGCAAGTAAAGACATTTGATTCTTCTTTTCAATCTCTATGTTATTTAATTATTTTTCTTACCTATTAGATTGTCTAGAACAGCGGTCGCCAACCTTTAGGACCTCATGGACCACCAGTGGTCCATGGACCACCGGTTGGCAACCACTGGTCTAGAACTTCAAGTACAATGTTAAACACAATACGGTAAGCAGAGCAGCTGCTGTCTACAAGATGCACATTTAAGTATGACATTTCAAAATTCAACTTAGGAAAGAAGCACATGAAGGAAGGAGTAAAGAAGTACTTAACACCTTAATGAAAAAGTATACACACAAAAATAGCTCCTATAACAAACCAACAATTAAAGGGAATTAAATGAGCCAAGTTTACTATTATAATTCTTACCACAATGCTCATACAGACTATCTTAAACATGTGGCACACAAACATTTCTTAAGACTTGGTCTTTTTTAGGCTAAGTACTTAGCCTCTCTCTTCTATTTTCAAAATGTAAGATTCACGTTCATGCTACCTACCAGCATTTGCAACAAGCAACAGGGGCAGTTTTCCTCGTTCAATATCATCTTTAATCAGTTTTTCCAGGAGGGCAACATCCTGGGATTAAAAGATAAATCATAAAAACATGAGGCAACCAGCCTAAAAGTTATTCAGTGAGAAATTACAACTTCCAAAAGAAGTACCTGACTCTCAAAATTAATCAATTTTTGACAATTTTGCTAGTTTCTCTAATCATAGATGTGAAAATCAAATACTTTTCCTGAAGACTAAAAAAATCAGTTAAATGTTATTAAAGTTAAAAATTGCATATATATATAGCCAACATTTTCTAGTTTTAAACATGTGTTTATAGAAAATGTTCTCTCAACCCCCCAAAACAATAAAAAATGTATCTCTAATATTATCTCTAATGCATCTGAATTAATGTATAGAAAATCAAACTATCTTGAAAAAAGAAATGCAGAAACCCAAAACCTATCCCTTTTGCTCTGGCTTCAGTATGCAATGGGAAGATCAAAGCAATAAATGAATAAGCTAAAAATTATCTGGAGGCCAGCAAACAAAACCTCAGTTAAAAGAAAGACACAGTTTCAAAACACAATTCCATATTATTTTACAAACCAAAAGGAGAACTCACCATTTGATGCTGGGATCCAAACATAGTGTTACAGGGCACACGAGATAAGCAGGGGAAGGGTAAGCCAAGCTGTAAGAAGAAACATACAGCTTTAAGAAAACTCTTTATCACCATTCACTTATGCCCTCAAAGGATTGTAACTCCACCCAGCCTGTGTCGCTCAGTGGTTGAGCATCGGCCTACGAACTGGGAGGTCATGGTTCGATTCTTGATCAAGGCACATTCCCAGGCTGTGAACTCAATCCCCAATGGGGGACATGCAGGAGGCAGCCTATCAATGATTTTCTCTTATCATTAATGTTACTATCTTTCTCTTCCTTTCCCTTTCTTTCTGAAATCAATAAAAATATATATTAAAAAAAAAAGATTGTGGCTCCAAGACAAGTCATAATTATTCTTTTTAAACAATCTCTGTCCTTAGGAACTCTTATTATAAATAGATGTTAAAGTACATCTAGAAAGTTAAGCCAAAAAAAGGGTGAATTTCCAGGAGTTGAGATGTCTTATAAGAGGCCAGAGACAATGTAAAATTTTCTAAATTCTATATACCAAAAAACAAAACACTTACAAACTGGAAACAATTGAACCCTGAGCATTTGGGGGCATAATTTTAGGGTCCTTCCTCCAAACATTAGTAGCACCAGTTAAAGGCATTCAAAGAATACTTTATTTATGGATCCATCCACTCCTAAAAATCAATAAACACGGACTTGCAGAGAAATGAAGTTAGTGTTATAAAGATAGCAATTGTCACTTTTAGCTTCCAAATCCTTTTTTCCCACCTAGCTTCCAAATCCTTGAGGAGTTTATAGTTTTAGAAATTTTTAAACAGTTGCAGTCTATTGTTCTATATAACTAAACTTGGTAGAATTTAAAGACCAAAAATTTGCCCTAGCCAGTTTGGTCCAGTGGATAGAGGGTCAGCCTAGGGACCAAAGGGTCCCTGGTTCCAGTCAAGGGCACGTACCTCAGGTGCAGGCTCCTTCTCGGCCCGGACCCTGGTCAGGGCACGTGCAGGAGGCAACCAATCGATATGTTTCTCTCACATCGATGTTTCTCTCTGTCTTTCCCTCTCTCTTCTACTCTCTCTAAAAAGATCAATGGAAAAATATCCTCGGGTGAGGATTAACAATAAATAAATAAATAAATAATAATAATAATAATAAAAAATGAAGACCAAAAATTTAACAAGCACTTTATCCACACTCATTCCCCTTAAAGCAGTGGTTCTCAACCTTCCTAATGCCGTGACCCTTTAATACAGTTCCTCATGTTGTGGTGACCCCCAACCATAAAATTATTTTCGTTACTACTTCATAACTGTAATTTTGCTACTGTTATGAATCGTAATGTAAATATCTGATATGCAGGATGTATTTAGGCGACCCCTGTGAAAGGGTCGTTCGACCCCCAAAGGGGTCGCGACCCACAGGTTGAGAACCGCTGCCTTAAAGGATTTATCTTTTAAATTATGAAAATGAAACCCAAATAAAACACACAATAAAAATAAAGAGAGAGAAATTAAAAGTGAAAATGCCCCATATAAAGTACCAATCTCCAGTTAACAGGTTAGAATGTAACCTTCCAGACATTTTCTAGATACAGTTATATAGTTTTCTAGTTATAAAAACACTCATATAAGCATGTAAACACTTTTTAGAACATGAACACATTAATACTGCTCTGCCACTGCCTTCCTCACTTAACAGAATACTGTCACACATCTTTTGAAGATAGGACTGCTGTCCCAAGACAGCCTCAGGTCCATAAGAGCCTGGCCTACAGTAGTACTCAATAAGCAAATTATTTCATGTTTCTATAGGGATATTACAAAACTCCCCATTTTTTTTACACCCTCAAGAAGAGGACATGATTTCTTGCCACTAGTGACCACAGCTCTAAATCAACTAAGTCCTTGAATTTCCTCCATCTATCTCCCCAGGGCTCCTTCACCTTAAAAAAGACAAACCCTCCAATCCTAAGGGTTTTGCCTTAAAACATTTTTGGCCAAGAGATTTCATTTCTTTTCTCAAGGTAGCCCCCTAATTGGACTACGTGCACTATGAACTTTAAGAATGGTAATAATGCCCTTTGATCTAGTAATTCTAGATCGACTCTGAAAGTCTATCTGAGAAATATATCCCTAAATATAGACAAAGCTTTATGCACAAAGATGTCCATAATAGCACTATGCACAATAGCACTGGTCACAGAAATGGTCATAGAAAGCAAAAGAATGCAAACACTCTAATTGTCCAAAAAGGAAGCAGTCAGTTAAAATACTACTATACACTCACTACTATATATTATGAAGACATTAAAAATAAGCTTTACTTGTCCTAGCTAGTTTGGCTCAGTGGACAGAGTGTCAGCCTAAGGACTTAAGAGTCCTGGGTTTGATTCCAATCAAGGGCACATGCCTGGGTTGCAGGCTCGATCCCCAGTAGGAGGCATGCAGGAGGCAACCAATCAGTGATTCTCCCCCATCATTGATGTTTCTATCTCTCTCTCCCTCTCCCTTCTTCTCTGAAATCAATAAAAAAATATTTTTTAAAAAAGCTTTACTTTAAAGAATTACATATCTAAATTCATTAATATACAATTATATGTTTTCTTATAATGACAAAACAAGCATATAAAAAACCCATCTTTCTTTTCATTTGAAAAGAATAGCAGCTAAAGAAATGCGTGTACATACTTTTAAAAGTTCCAGGACAGAACGAAACATCTAATCTTTAAAATGTCCACCTTACGCCACATTACCTGATTACAAAGATACTGGCCCAGGCCAGGCCTAGCAGCAGCACTAAGATATACGACAGGTTTCTTGTTATATAACACATTGAACCCATCCACCACAAAGTCTTCATAACGAGAATGAATGGCAAGTCTACAGATCTTTGCAAGTCCTTCTCTTTCATCTTCATGGAAATAAGCACAGCCATTTTCATACCTGTTAAGAGACACCCATATATTAATATGTTCTTATCTCTGGTTAACTCTGATTTTATATCCCAGTTTTGTAATCAAGGAAGTAATTATTTTCTCAGCCTAGAAACTGTCACCTAGATCAGTTAAGGAGATAGGAATCACCCTAATTTTAGATGGCTGACAACTCCTTACAGTTGGAGGTTATAAGGAACAGAGGCAATGACCCTTCATCCAGCCCCAACTCCATAAAAAGCAGCAACAATGAAAATCAGTAGAGAACAGGAAGTTCCTCAAATATAAAAAGGCTGAACATCATGGTTTTGGCTTATTCTACAAGGAGGCTAGCACTGGGTAATGCAGGCATGGTTCCTGTAAGAGTTTTAGCTCTAAAACATCCAAAGTAAATAAATTGTCAAAAACACTGGTCAGGCTAACTTTTGCTTTCACTATTATCTACCTGGGACCTTTCATTCTTCTTAATCTCCTAGAGAGGAAGGGAGAGAGACTTTCAATTATAGGTATATTTTTATTATAATGGAAAAAAATTTCTTCTTTGCAATATAGTTAAGCAAACTTATACTCAAGCCAGGCCAACCTCTTTCCCAACATCTGAAAGTGAGTCTCCCAAGTTAAATGTTTCAATGTTAGGCAAACATTCCTTTTCCATAAAAGTAATAACATAAAAATACTACTGGTCCAATGTCTTCTGCGGAATCCGTAACTTGCTATAATTCCTTAATAAGACCATCATTATCACAGTATAAAGCAAATTTCAATTTCGTAACACACACTCATCTTCCTTATGACAGCATTTCCTTTCTACTAAAGCACAGGCTACTTTGATTAAAAATATTTTAATATGTTTCACTGCTCTACCTTCTATTGACATGTGTCAATTAGCAATTCTAAAAATAAGGAGCTGCTGACATTATCCAACATGCATGTGCTTATGTTCTGAGCTGTTTACATGTATTAACTCATTAGCTCATTTAATCCTCACAACAATGCCATAAAATAGATATTAATACTATCCCCATTTAGTAAATGAGGAAACTGAGGCATGAAGAGGTTAAGCAACCCTTCTAAGAGGAAGGGAAAGAGGCATATTTGAACCTGGGTATTATAGCTCCAGACAAGATCTGTCACAATCTATACCCAACTCATTAATATCTTATCGGAAACAAAAGACTCATAATGTCTTTACCTGAAAATTCTGCACAGCCATAAGGTAGTGTCTGAAAGTATCCTAGTTGTAAGTTTTCTCAGCCTCTCTTTGTCCAGAGTTGAAATATAAGCTCCCAGACTATGCCCCAAAAGAGCTATATGACCTTGTTCTCCAATATTCTGGATTCTGTTAATCAAAATTCATTAGATTAAAAAAAGGCTTAGTAAAAATATTAAGAAATAAAACTTTGAGACAGTATTCCACAGAAATTTCTTTTCTTTTTAAAACCTCATCCGAGGGTATACATACATTTTTTAGAATATATTTTTTAAATTGATTTCAGAGAGGAAGGGAGAGAGAGAGAGAAACATCAATGATGAGAGAGAATCACTGATCAGTTGCCTCTTGCTCACCCTACACCGGGGATCAAGCCCGTAACCTAGGATGTGCCCTGACCAGAATCGAACCGTGACCTCCTGGGTCATAAGTTGACGTTCAAACACTGAGCCACGTCGGTTGGGCAATATATATATAATTTTTTAAAAAAATATATATTTTATTGATTTTTTACAGAGAGGAAGGGGAAGGGATAGAGAGTTAGAAACATCGATGAGAGAGAAACATCGATCAGCTGCTTCCTGCACACCCCCCACTGGGGATGTGCCCACAACCAAGGTATATGCCCTTGACCGGAATCGAACCCGGGACCCTTCAGTCCGCAGGCCGACGCTCTATCCACTGAGCTAAACCGGTTAGGGCTATACAATTTTTAATCCTCACCCAAGGATGGATGGATGGATATATATATGTATGTATATGTGTGTGTATGTGTGTGTATATATATGTGTGTGGGTGTGTGTGTGTGTATGTATATAATTGATTTTTAGAGAGAGGAAGAGGGAGAGGGAAGGGGGGAAGAGAGAGAGAGAGAGATAGGTAGACAGAAACATTGATGTGAGAGAAAAACATCGATTGGTTGCCTCCCAGATTAAAACCACAACCTAGGTATATGCCCTGACTGGAAATCGAACCAGCAACCTTTTGGTATGGGATGATGCTCCAACCAACTGAGCCACCCCACAAGGGCCCACAGAAATTTCTGTCAGACTGAAAATTCACTTAATGCCCTAGAAGGCACAAATTCAGATAAATTTAGAAAATTTAACGCCTATAAGATATTGACAGTCTGGGGGAAAAATATTTTAAAAACTAATTCCTAGGAGATAAATATCCTTCTTTTTATTGAATATCTACTAAATATACAAATTGTTTGTGAATAATTTTCTCCTAAAAATTTTTTTTAGGGAGAGGGATAGAGAGCTAGAAACATCGATGAGAGAGAAACATCGATCAGCTGCCTCCTGCACACCCCCCACTGGGGATGTGCCCACAACCAAGGTACATGCCCTTGACCGGAATCGAACCTGGGACCTCTCAGTCCGCAGGCCGACGCTCTATCCACTCAGCCAAACCGGTCAGGGCCTAAAATTTTTTTTTAACTAAGTACCAGTCATAAGAACTATGGAGGGTAGAGCTAAATGTGCAGAAAACAATTTTTTAAACAATCATTACATGAAGATCAATTCCCCTCATTAGCTATTCATAACAATAATTTAGCAAATTCAAGGGGAACTAGGTATTGTTTTATATATAATTTAAATGGATGGACTAATTTCCCTTATAAAAAATAAGTCAATTTTTAAAAAGTCAAAAAAATCAAACAGGATACTGGGCAAAAGATACAGTTGATAGAAAAGGAAATATAAACAGGTTTTAAAACATGCAAAAAGATACTTAACCTGGTTAATAAGAGAAATGCAAATTAAAATTATGCTGAAATATCATTTCTCACCTATCAGACTGGCAACAACCCTTAAACCTAACACTCTTACAGGCAAAGGTGTGGGGAAAGAGGTACTCTCACACAGTGCTGGTGGGACCATAAACTGGCACAGGTTCCATGGAAGGAAATTTGGCAATATCTATTAAAATTAGAAATACACAAGCTATCTTGCCCAGGGATCCCACTTTAGAACTTTAATCTCCAGAAATATTTGCTTCTCTAAGAAATGATACAGGTACAAAGTTATTGGCTGCAGCAATGTTTGTAAAAGTAAACCACAAAAAGGAGATTAGTTAAATAGAATATGGTTCATCCATTCAAAGTAAAACCAAACAGCTTTTTTTAAAAAAAATATATTTTTATTGATTTCAGAGAGGAAGGGAGAGGGAGAGAGAGACAGAAACATCATGATGAGAATCATTGATTGGCTGCCTCCTATACGACCCCTACTGGGGATTGAGCCCACAACCCAGCATGTGCCCTTGACTGGAATCGAACCCAGGACCCTTCAGTCTGCAGGTCAATGCTCTATCCCCTGAGCCAAACCAGCTAGGGCCCAAACATCTCTTAAAGGAGAAAACTCCTTGTGTATTGATATGCAATGAACTCTAAGACATAAATTTAAAAAGCAAGGTACAAAACAATGTGCACAGTATTTGTGTAATGGAGGGGGTGAGTAAGGACATTTTGCTTGTGTATACACACACATAAAATATCTCTGAGAAATACAACATTGTCTGTCTCTAAGGAGGAGAACAATACAGAGAGGCTGAGGTAAGAAGGAAAACTGCCTTTGTGTACTCTTTTATCTTTGAAATTTGAACCAGAAAAAAAGCATTACTTATTCCAAAAAAATAATTTTAAAAGAATTAAAGATAAAATGAAACTGAATAGCTAAACAGATGAAAATAAAAATAAAGCAAATGGATGATTCACGGCAATGGTCTCCCACCAATCAATTCAGCTGCAGCAATTCTTAGCAAGCACAAGTGCAGGAGCAGAAGCCATGAGAAGTAGGAAAGTGCACAGCAATTGTTCTTTGGTCCTTTTGCCAGCCCCTCGCAAAGATATGATACCATAAAAACTGTAGAATTTAGGTTTAGTAAATGCCTTCCTTTTACAAAATATATTATGCAAAATATGTAAATTTCTCTCTGAAAAGAAAAAAATGAACATCCTCTTGATATCAGATGAATGAAACATAGCTTATCGTTTCAGCAATTTGCAAGAATGCAATCACTTTCAAAATCAAGAACACATAATACTGTCAAAGAGAAGCTGCCAGCCGTTCTCCATTACCGGGCACTCTGGGGCTCCTCATCTTCATCTCCGTGCATCAGATTCTGAACTAACTGGAGGATGCTCCCCATATCTTGTCCACTGCAGAATAAATAAAGACTTGATGGACAGGTGGAAATAGCACGTATCCCCCACCACTCTCTATTCTTTCATCCAAATAGCTTTGGTAAGTTTTTTTTGAGTAAGAATGTGTTTGAGATACAGTATACATCTTTTAAAAACAAGCCTCAAATTATTAACTGGAATTTTGAATACAATCTTACTTGTGATTAATTAAATCTTCTACTTAAATCTGAGATTGAAATTTTTAAATTTCACCAATATTGCTTAAGAAATATTTCTCTACCTGTTCATTTGAATCCTGGAGAATAAGCATGTCATAAGAGCCAAAATAGTCCTTATAAGATGCTAAAGGTCACAGAAGCAGCAAGAATACTCCAATGTCACTGGTATATCTAGTTTCCCTCCATGTAGACACCTTGTCTGCTTATTCTAACAGACTTAAACATGTAATGCAAGCATCATTTTTACCACTTCTTCTCCAAACTGGGAAACTGGAGATCTGCTTAGAGTATACTAGTAAACAGATTTACTTCTATTCAACATAAGTTACTAAGTGCTCATCACATGAGGTGGTGAAAACTTCTGGGAAGAATGTGAATGACTAAAGTAGTTAGCAATGTCAAATTGAACACATGTAATGTGAAAATATTATTGCTCCATTAACAAGAGTATGACTAATAAAAAGTTCTCTCTTCTGAAAAAGCAGCACTGTCAGAACAATGCCCCAATACCCATCCTCCCCAAGGTGCTGAGGTTCACAGCAGAGGGGCCCTGGTCCTTGGACACAGTGTAGAAATTTCCTACCGTTGTCCCAATAATGTAAAATAAAATTAATCATATACTTAAAAGTTATGACTTAAATTTATATTACAAATGATATGCTATGCTATGTGCCTAGCCACAGGACTTGAGCAAGCTATTGAAACTCCCTAAGTCCTTACATTAAGAAATTGTGAGGATGCAATCAGACAGTGTATGTAAAGCATTTAAGGCTATGCCTGGCATAGTGCTATCTCAGATGTTGGCTATTAGCACTAAGTGTGAATATGCCTGACCAGTAGCCTTAATGCCCTCCCATTCTGAGAATTACAGATACTCTTGGTGGTATCTCTTCTGGGAAAACTGTGGAATCAGTAGAACCCTTTAATTCCCTTCAGGAAATTTAATTCCCTGAGGAGATTTATAGGACTTGGTTTCTGTTCTGACCTGTAGAAGACGCTGCATGCACACTGAGAGGGCTTCAAATCAGCACCATTCAAGCCCAGCACAAGTAGCTCAGTGGTTGAGCGCTGACCCACGAAATAAGAGATCACCAGTTCAATTCTTCGTCAGGGCACATGCCCAGGTTACAGGCTCAATCCCCAGTAGGGGGTGTGCAGGAGCCAGCCGATCCATGATTCTCTCTCATCACTGATGTTTCTATCTCTCTCTTCCTCTGCCTTCCTCTCTGAACTCAACAACAACAACAAAAAACAACAACAAGAAATTCAGCACCATTCAAGCTACAAGTAGGAGTGCCTATTTTAATACTGGTATCTGGGTGTGTTAGATGTGACATTGGCACATTGTGGTCCTTCCCTTCCTCCTCACTTCTCTTTTGCAACCTTATACATATTTATATTCAGGTCAAAGGACAATTTAAGGGAGTTGTAATGTTTACCTATGTGCAGTTTCCTGGTCATAAAAAAAAAGTTTGTATGAAGGAACCTTGGCTGAAATTTTAATTACAAACTGAGTACTAACATTCTGTGAAAATTTTAGTTAGGTAGCTACTTATTTTTCTGACATTTTCCCTGCTAGCTCAAACCATAAATACTAGACAAATTTGTTTTCATTGTAAAAAAAATAAATCGTTCTGTCAATAAATGGTTAAAGTTGACATTTTCCTTTCATTTTACTGTATTATAAAAATAATAAATCTTACCAAATTAAAATATCTCACACAATAATGCTCAGTGTACCATGCAGATTACAGGTTTCAAAGATAAACTAAGTATGATATTCAACTCATAATTATAAATTTGTGCATTGCTTTTGATTCATGATATTGTGTTAAATTCTGAATGGGAAAGGGGAAGAAGCAGGCAGGCTTGGCATTATCACAACCAGACAACGGCATTTCAGTTTTCTACTTACATTGCTTATAACTCTAAATTTGCTTTTTACTCAATAACACTAAAATTGTAAATCAATGATGGCAAAATCTTTGTTTAAAGAAAATGTATACCCAAACTAAAGGTACTTATCTTTATTTTCACCTACCTGCCTTGGAGTGGCCCTGGAATATCCCCTGATAGTTTTTTTCCATTTTCCTCCTCTGTTCTTCTAATTTAAAGGAAAATAAAAAATTATTCACTTTATCATATCAAATTTTTACCATTTGAGCATGCAAGCATGTGATAATCCTATATAATAAAAGCCTAATATGTTAAGTATCCGGTCAACTGTTCAACCAATCAAAGTATAATATGCTAATGACATGTTAAGGCCGCTCAACCACTCGCTATGACATGCACTGACCATCTGGGGGCACACAGTCGACCGGTCGACCAGTCGCTATGATGTGCACTGACCACCAGAGGGCAGATGCTCTGACCGGTAGGTTAGCTTGCTGCTGGGGTCCAGCAGATCGGGACTAAGCGAGACAGGCCGGACACGCCCTGGAGCCCTCCTGTGGTTCCTCCCTGGCTGGCCAACCTCCCGTGTCCTTCCCTGGCCCCAATCGTGCACCGGTGGGGTCCCTCAGCCTGGCCTGCACCCTCTCACAATCCAGGACCCCTTGGGGGATGTAGGAGAGCCAGTTTCAGCCTGATCCCACAGGCCAGGCCAAGGGATCCCACTGGTGCACAAATTTGTGCACCAGGCCTCTATATTATCTATAATTTCTTAGTAACTGATGTAGAATTTAAAACACATTTATCATATCTCTCCCTCCCTGTTCATCCTTTGCCCCAGCCCCCAATTTGGGGTATAATTTGAGTTTCAGGAAAAGAACATGAAACCCATTTCTTGGTTAGTTGATGCCTTATATGACCTTAATTTACAGTAAGAAATATTTATAGTTTCAAATCAATATATTGAGTAAATTAAACTCTTAATAGGCAGACTTGAAAATTATAAGTCCTGCCCCTCAATTTCAAAATCCTTTAATTACAAAGCATCTTCTACCCAAAACAAATACCAAGTTCAAAGTCAGCAGAAGCTAAGCGTGACATTCTGAAACCCAGAGGTGTTTATAACAGCAGGAAACCAGTACCACCCGTTTCATAACAGACTGAACATGTTTAACAAGGTCACTTCTGTTCCACAGGCTCACCTCTGACTGTCCTCTAGCATCTTCATAGCCTCCTTCAAGTTTTTTCCCATTTCAGCTAATGCAGGATCTGCTATCTAGGAAACAAAATTTTTTTTCCCAATATATTTTATTGATTTTTTACAGAGAGGAAGGGAGAGAGATAGAGAGTTAGAAACATCGATGAGAGAGAAACATCGATCAGCTGCCTCCTGCACATCTCCTACTGGGGATGTGCCCGCAACCCAGGTACATGCCCTTGACCGGAATCGAACCTGGGACCCTTCAGTCCGCAGGCCGACGCTCTATCCACTGAGCCAAACCGGTTTCGGCAAGGAAACAAAATTTTTAAAGGTTCAACTTTGATAATCCCTATCACTTCTACAACACAATTCACCCAGAAAAACAAAACACATGAATTTATTATAAAGTACACGCTGGATTTAAAAATGCCAACAGTAAAGCCGGCTGGCACAGCCCAGCCCACGTGGCTCAGTGTTTGTGTCGACCTGTGAACCAGGAGGTCACGGTTTCAATTCCTAGTCAGGGCACATGCCCGGGTTGCAGGCTCCGATCCCCAGTGTGGGCGTTAACCAACTGTGTCTCTCCCCCATCGATGTTTCTCTCTCTCTCCCCCTCCCTTCTACTCCCTCTAAAAATCCATGGAAAATACCCCCAGATAAGGATTAAAAACAAAAAAGTCCACCAGTTCCTCTCCCCAGGGAAAGCCACTTTAAGTTTGATATTTATCTTTCCAAATTTTTACTTACTTATATGCACCTCTGCAACTTGCTTTTTAAAAAAACTTTATAGTGAATATGGTTTCACATCAGTATGTCTATTTCATTTTTCTTAGTGCTGACACCTTATTCCATTCTATGGATGTACCATCATTTAACCAGTCCTGAATTAATAGACCCTTGGGTTAGTCCAGTTTTTCACTCTTAGAAGGTTCAGAAAACTGTATAGTATGCTATTTATTTTACTGTTGCAGTAGGCTGAGAAATGGCCCCTCAAACGTTATTTACACCTAATCCCTGGAACTTATAAATGTTACCCTTTATGGCAAAACTTCGAAGATATGATTAGGTTAAGGCTCTTGAGATGTCAAGATTACCCTGAATTATCCAGGTGGGCCCTAAATGCAATCACATGTACCCATATAAGAGAGAAGTAGAGGGTGACTAAACACACACACACACACACACACACACACACACACAAAAGCTATGTAAGGATGGAGCAGAGGGAGATACGAAGATGCTTGCCTCAACACTGGAGTGATGGGGCCACAAACCAAGGAAGGAGCGCTGGCAGGCAACATAAACTGGAACAAGAAAAGAAGGAACTCTCCCCTAGAGCCTCTGAGGGAGTGCGGCAGCCCTGCCAATACCTTGATTCAGCCCAGTGACGCAGACTTCAAATTCGGGGCTCCAGAAGTGTGACAGAACCATTTCTATTACTCTAAGCCACCCGGTTTGTGCTAATTTGTTACAGCAGCCACAGGAAACTGAGACACTCATAAATCTCTAAGTTCTCTATAAACTAGAAGCTCACACAAGCTGGTAAGAATGACTGCCTCCGGAGAAGAGAACTGAAAGATGGGCCTAGAAGTCAGAGGGTGGCTTTTCAGTCCACACCCTTTTGTTCCTTTTGGATTTTAGTACCAAGTGTACATCTATCTCCCATCAAAAAAAATAAAAATAAAACAAAATTTTAAAAATTTGTGCAGAAGTAAAACAAACACATCCTTTTTTTTCCCTTCTTAATCTCCATAGCATCTTTATTGCCTTGAATCTCTATATAGTGTCAGCTGGTTATAAATCCTTATAGAAGCTGTCTTGTTCTGCTCTAAGTCTTGAGGTGAATTTATCTTTTCTCATATTGCCTATGGTCCTTAGTAGTATCTTATTCGGAGGAGGTGTGCAATAAGTTGAATTTGGTTTTACATTACCTCCTCACTGTGTGCCCTATTGCTGCACCTCCTGTGAGAACAGGAAGGGATTGCAGCTTCAATTCTCCCATCCGAGTCTCTCTCTATAGCACACACACTCATTCAGTGGACTGGCTTACAATTAAATTGTTCTTTCTACTCTCATTTAGGAATTGAAGTGGGGAGGAGGAAAGAAAGAGGGAAAACATTTATAGTTAAATTTTGGAGTGAATTCCATGTGAACATGATTTGCCTCCAATGCTGTAAACACTCATGTGCTTGTTGTATTAACTGGATATCCAAAATATAAAATGTTATCTAGTTGCAGAAAAATATTAGGTTCTAAGTCAAGAAGTACTCCAAGAAAAATATATATTTACTAGTTGGTTCCTTAAAACGAAAAGCCATGCCTCCATAAGCTTCGGGGGAGGGCAGCCACTACTTTCTTATTTCTAGTTCTTATCCACAGTACCTGTTACAGTGCCAGACAATGTATACAAGAGGTTGATAAAGCATGCTTGAAAGCTGAGAATTTTTTTAAGTGATTGTAGAACAAAGTGTGACAACAAAAATTACATTTACTTTCACACGAATAGGGATAAAAATAACTCAAACTCTGAATTAAGACAATACTGTTTAATAAAAGCTAAGTTTATTTTTTAAAAAAAGGAAAGGAAGGGTTAAGGGTAGCTAGACTGTAGCATCAGAAAGCAGATCTAGGGTCCACTGAAAAGGGACACAAGGGAACTATTCAGGGAGATGGAAATGTTCCCTGTCTTCACTATCCTGGTGGTTATATCACTGTATACATCTGATGAAATGCAAACTGTATAATTAAAGTAGGTATTTTTTATTGCATATAAATTGTCCCTCCGTTTTTTTTAATCTCTATTGATTTTAAAGAAAGAGAGGAAGAAGTGAGGAAAGAGAGAAACATTGATTTGTTGTTCCAGTTATGCATTCATTAGTTGACTCTTTTTAAAATAAATTGTATTTATTCGCTTAAGAGAGAGAGAGAAGGAGAGAGAAGGAGGAGGGAAAGGGAGAGGGAAAGGGAGAAAGAGAAAGAGAGAGAGAGAGGGGGAAAGAGAGAGAGAGAGAGAGAGAGAGAGAGAAAGAGAGAGAGACATCAATTTGTTCCACCCATCATGCATTCACTGGTTGATTCTTTGTATGTGCCCTGACTGGGGATCGAACCTGTAACATTGGCCTATTGGGGCGATGCTCCAACCAACTGAGCTACCCAGCCAGGGGTCTATCTCAATTTAAAAGGAGGGTATATTGATTTAAAATCAATTTAAAATAAATATTAAGTAAATAATAGTACAAGTGGTACACAGACATGACAAAATTCACAAAGATGGTATATAAATAACTGTATTTGAGAAATATAGAGCTAAACCTTTAAAGAAAAGCAGCTTCCAGAAAAAAAGAAAAAGGAAGTCTAAAATGTAATTTTAAAATATATAAATCGCAACATTCATCAATAACAGGAGTATATAATACTGTTGTTTAAATAAATTTTTTTCAGGAGAGGAATGTTCATAAGGGTGGGGCACGGGGTTCCAGGACTACTGACAGAAGAAAAACTAAAGCATGTGAGACTACCTACCAGCTGCTCATCTCAGACAGAAGACCTTGGTGTTACTAAATGCTAGTTTACAATGTATGCATTAGATGTATAAAAACATCACTACCTTTCTTCAACTGATCAAAGTGATCCAATAAAGCTACACATTTCTGTGTTTCTAACAACTTTCTAAACAAGGTTAATCCTGGATTCTGTTACTCATGCAACTCTCAACTCTCCAAAAATCCTATTATTTTCCTCCCAGATGAAAACATAAACCATGCCTACTATCTAGCACTAGTACCCCCAATATTATTCACCTCTGAGAAGCAACAAGAATACAGCAGCAGCTGCTCTAGGAACATAGCTGTTCCTCATGTGTCAAAGATGAGAGAAAACAACAGGAATTCTCTGGAAAGTTGATATAGTGCCTTACAAACCTGGCTACCTTACGGAGGCTCAATTTAAACATACTTTTGCCTGATTCAACAGAAAAGTATTTACTTAAGAACTGGGCACTTTTGTCCCTATCATTTAAGAACTGGATACTCTTTAAAAATCTTATTTTTAATTATCATGGACTCTATGCTTGAGTGTGTTTGTAAGAACGTGAAGACACTGTAATTACTGGCTCATTGAGCATCATAATATTCTTAGTTGAAAAAGATATGCAACTATTGCATAAGGTGCTAGTATCTAACCTTACAAATTCCTCAAAAAGAGAGGCAGAAAAGAATATGGGGAAAAATATACAACAGAAGTAAAAATCTAGTAGAGGTAAGGAGGCAGCAAAGTTAGTAACATTGCTCAAACCTGTCATAGAAGTATGTGGAAGGAAAAAAAAAAAGGCATTCAAATCACTCGCCTTAAAATACGTGCTGGGAATGCCAGGAATACATTTCAAAAAAATGTATTCCTAGAGACCTCTATTTCTGGAGAATCAATTCGCTTAGACATATCATGAGTAAATGCTTCCCAGTAACTACACAGATGGAAAAATACCACACATCAGGCAAGCTCTATTTTAAAACATTTATGAGCTTATCTGGAATCACACACTTATTCTGGAATAAAAACAAAATTGCTTAAAAAGAAGCATGCTCTAGTCCAGGGGTGGGCAAACTTTTTGACTCGAGGGCCACAATGGGTTCTTAAACTGGACCGGAGGGCCGGAACAAAAGCATGGATGGAATGTTTGTGTGAACTAATATAAATTCAAAGTAAACATCATTACATAAAAGGGTACGGTCTTTTTTTTTTTTAGTTTTATTCATTTCAAACGGGCCAGGTCCGGCCCGCGGGCTGTAGTTTGCCCACGGCTGCTCTAGTCACTGGAAAAAATAAGTCTTTCACTGAGATATGCCTCTTATAAGGGAGTTTTTCCTAGGACTTGTTGGGAGATCCAACCACAAAGATAAAGCTCATTGTCCTTACCAATATCATTATTTCCAAAATTGAATTAGAATTATGTAAGATTAATGTTGCTAGCTTTACCTTAAATATAGTAAGAAGAATTCTGAGGAAAGGAATCCATCAATTCTTGAAGCCTCTGTATATCTATAAAACTTCAGACTTTAAGGTTGAACTGTGTAAAA